AAAGATTTAAACTTGAATCAAGTAAGTAGGGATTTATTTTAGACCATAAATTTGAATTTCTAAGTTTTTGATTTATGTGAATTTCTTGAGTTGATGATTATGCTTTTATGGGTTGCTTATGTTGATATTGTGAGTTTTGATGACTTGATATGAGTTTATTGGTTTATCTTGAGTATTTGATGATTTATTGATATGCTTACTCATTAAAGTTTATAAAGCTTTGTTTTATGCCTAAATATTTGTTGTTGGGTTAGTTTAGTAAATTGATGGACTTGGACCAAAATTATTTGTAGTGAATAATTATTGATGTGGATATGGGAGGAATAAATCCGAAATAGTAGATGATGGATGATGGGTTCCTAGAGTTCCTTAGAGGGTACTATTCGACCTAATTGCTTAAATTAGGGATTTTGATGCTTTCATGTGATTGATGTTCTAGAGCTTAATTATGGCTTAATTAAGTATGGATTAGTGTTTAAGAATGAAAAACTTTACTTTAATTGAAGAAAAACCCACACAAATCCTTAGTGTATATTCAGCCTCAAACTTTGATTTTTAGGCTTTGAGTTTCACTCATCCAAATCTAGAATTATTGGTTCAATTGTCCTTGAGCAAGTATAATTTGAAGTGTAGGAAGGTAAACTTTCAAGAAAATTGAAGAAAATGGCTCAAATTAGTTAAAATCTAAATTCGGCCATCAAGGTCAAATTCGGGTTAGAGCAAGAAATCACACCTTAAATGTTTAGTCAATTGGTCCTTATGATTGATGTGTATATAAGATAAGTGGTATCAAAATTATAGGATGAAATCAATGGCATTACTTATTAATCATATGATGAGAAGATACTTATTAAATGAGTGAATTACATTGATTGATTAATTGTATTCGATGGTAATTGATTTCCTTAAATAAATATTTATATCGGATAAATGAGACATATATGTGTTTCTATATGTGGGTTGAATTTCAAGAATGGTTTAAGAATGTAGGGTTTGATACCCATAACTTGACGGATATGGTAAATGAAACATCATTGTGCATTATATGCATTTGTGGGTAGATTGAAAAGTTAGATGGTTGAGAATTGATAAGGTTTAGTAACTGCAATTGGATTAAATGAGTATTAGCAATGAAGCTATGCACGTGCTCTATTACTTAATTACACCGATAGGCGATAGAAATTTAGCTAACCGTGTACTACAACGATGGATAATTTTGTTGTTAGCGGTAGGTGATAAGACGATCACCGAGAGATGAAAATGGAGTGAACTTGCTAATATCTAGGGTACCCGAAGTAAAATTAATGGATGAATTCAAGGTAGTAAGAAATCATTGCATATAACGTGTATTACCCTACTTACTAAGCTTTGGCTCATACTGTTGTTATTATTCTCCGGTGTAACGAGTAAAGACGAGACGGTTCGTCAAGGAAGGCTGTCGGTTCTCACTAAACAAGGCTCGTGTGCCACCCAAAATTATAGGAATCTTTTGAAGGGTTGTAGATAAGTGATATTGTTCTCTTATTTATGGGTAGTCGGCATCGTAGACATTTTGTAATCCCTATGATTGTAATTAATACCATGTAAATTTTATTATACGTATTCCATTGCTTAATATTTTATGTAATTTTGGTTATGTAGTATAGGGAACTAGTCGGGATTTTAGGCTTAATAATGTAACAAACCTAGCCGCTCCTATTTGGAAATAGTAAGTGAGTTAGGGGCATTACATGAACCTTGATTTAAACCGTTGTAGATGATTTGTCTTGTTAAATTGCAAATCCCAAGTTAGACTATTTTATTTGATTTTTCTTGTTAAATCGTGCGGTTTGAAATTGAATTGATCCGAACCTCAATTTAGACCGTTTATTTAATTTGTCTTGTTAAATCATGTAGGTTTGAACCCTAATTAAGATTTCTTTATCTAATTTCTTTTTTGTTAAATTATGAAATTTAAAATCATGTAGGTTTAAAACATGATCTAGACCAATTTTACTTGATTTGTCTTGTTAAATTACGAAGTTTGAAATTGCATTGGTCTAGGCCTTTTGTACTAGTTTTATTTTGAATATGCCTATGTGTGATAATTAGATTGATTTTTCTTGAATTTAAATCTCTTATGTTTTTAGAGTGAGGATAAGACTTCGATTAACTAAATTCCGAATCACTCATTTGGCTAATAAACATTTATGAATAGGTATAGATTTTCATCATAACAAAACCAACTTTTTTGTTTGCGATGCAACTTTTTTTAAGCAAGAAATGGAAGGATGATTTTTAGTCTTCTTTATACGTAACCAACCTCTTATCTTGAACTCTAAGTATACTAGTTATTTTGGTTCCTAGTGATCTGTTAATACTAGGTAGTAAATCTTTTTTTCTTCCTTCTCTTGAACTCATTTCCTCAAACACATTGTTTCCCCTAATGTCGTGAATGCACCTGCTATAATAAATAAGAACATTGTTTATCAAAAGAAAACAATTAAACAATTACAATGTTAGTTCGGGTAAATTCATCTTACTAATTCTATACATACACCAATAATTAAAAGAAAACCAATTCATTGAAGAGCAAAAAAAATTATTTTTTTTCACATTAGCCATATATGTGTGTGTATGTGAAAAAAATTAATTTATTATTATGACCAAAACCATGTTATATATATTACCTATACAATATCGATCACAACTTGCTCATGAAATTTTTACGTATGAATTTTCTATTTGTATAAATTTTTCTTTTATTAGATATTAAGAAATAAAATGCTTAGTAAACACATGTTATATATAGAAAAGCCACACATTTGTAAGAGTTGGAAGCTTTTATAAATTAGCTTTCATTTTTCAAAGTAGTAAGTGTAGGTAGACTTATAGTGGGCTTTCTTTGTGAAGGCCATGAAGTTTAGAAATTGTTTAATTTTAGTTTTGAACTATTTAATTTACTCTTTTGGATTAAATTTCATTTAAAGCGAAAAATAAAAAATTAAAACTAATTTTTTAATTGAATTTTAAAAACCAAATTATTTTTCTGTTTGGGTTCGGTTTTTTATTTTTATGAGTTCGGTTAACCAAAAATCGAACTAAATTTATTAAAATCGAGTAAACACCCATACTCATTATAAAATAATCATCCATGAGGTTTAGAGTTTGACTCATTTATTGTAATCTACAATTGATAGTATATTTATATTCTTGATCGTAATTGCTCTCGAAAAAAACCCTAATTTCGATTTCGATATATGTATGGTAGAGATTTTTCGGATAATAAAAGGATGGTATGATGTGGAAACAATATTCCTTGCTAAAGAGTATGGAATAGCCTACCTAATGCTAGATCGGCCAAGTTGGTCCAATAAAAAAACTAGTGAACCCACAAAGTTAGTCTAGTTCTTTAATTGGATTGTTTATTTGATTGAACTCAACAAACCCGACTTGAACCGATCTCATTGGTGTCATAAAGTACATGATGTTACAAGGATTTAAATACCATATGAATGAATACATGCAATCACAAGGAATCGAACACCAAATCCCTTTCGGATAGCACCACCATCACCAAGCTTTTTATGCCTATTATGAACCAACACTACATTATATATATATATATATATATATATATATATACACACTCTTCCTCGGTGTAGGTAAGTTCAATGCTATCATAATCAAACTAGATTTTGACTCGACGGAAATCATAGGTTGTTAGTTTCCCAATCAAACCACTCATGTAATATGACATATTGTGCCTAATGTGAACCAACACCACACACACACGCACACACACACACACACACACACACATATATATATATATATATAGTCCCTCCATTCTCTCTCTCACTTTTATTTTTATTTTATTTTTTATCTTTATCATGTTCTTTTATTTATTTATTTTTTATTTTAAGTTCATCCCTTTACGTTTGGTTTGTCTTAATCTCGTATTTTCGTCAATTTTTGTACTAAGAGTGTTAACTTTTATTTTCTATTTTAATCTCATCCTTCTATTCTATTTTTCTCGTCGTACTCTTGTTTTTTTATTGAATTTAAATAAAAAAATTTGAAAAATAAAAAAATAAAAAAGATGAAATATATCATATCATTCTTACGCAAATTGAAAATAAAAATAAAAACTTAAAAAAAAGGTGAAGCTATTTTTTTTTATCCATTTTATCTTTTATGTGATTAAATTGATCTCTATGTTGGTAAGCAAATTTTGAATATAAAATGAAATATTTATGGTTTTTTTTTAAATGTGGAAATAATTTTAATTTAAATTTGAAACTTCGAATGATATTTAAAATTTTATAATACCTCAAAAAAGTCAATTATAATTTACTTGTTTTGATTTTATAAATTTTTTAATTTAAAAAATTTAACTAAAACTCTATTCATATTTAAAAAATATTATAAATATTTTATTTTATGTTTAAAATTTGCTAACTATCATAAAAACACATTTAAAACAAAAATATTATAAATATTTTATTTTATACTCAAAATTTTCTTATTATCATAGAGAAAAAATTAAGCTCATAAAGGATATTTTAGATAAAATCATATTTTTATCTTTTTTTTTTTTATATATAAGTTTTGGAGAGAATGGTTGGACATATCTTCACATTTTTTTTTCAAAATTTATTTATCTAAATTCAATAAAAAGTAAAATTAAGAAGAAAAATATAGTAGAAATATGAGACTGAGATAGAAAAAAAAATATATATATATTGTTAGTTTAAAAATTAACAGTAAAATGAAATTAAGACAAAAACTAAATATAAAAAGATGACTTCTATGATTATTACCCCTTTTATTCATTATACCGTAAAGCTTACCCCTGGTTCTCACAAAAACATAAAACCCATGTAGATCTCATGTTTTTGTTAATAAGGAGCAAGCTGTTTTTCGCATTGGGGTCTCCTTAAAAGAAGCAAAAGAAACATTTTTGTTGCTTACTTGAGGGCAAATAGAAAACTCTCTCCCTCTTTAAAGCTTTGATCAGCATGTCTCTGGGTTATGCAGAAAAACTTTCTTACATAGAAGATGTGGGCAACGTTGGAATGACAGAATTCTTCGACTCATCTCATGTTTTGCAAGAAAAAGTAAAGCTTTTTCTATCACATTTTATTATTATTATTAATGCATGGAGTTCTTTCTTTCTTTCTTAATTCTTCTTTGTTGCTTGGTTCTTCTTGTTAATTGGTTTTAATGATCATCTATCTGAAAGACTGAACCTTTATTTTTTGATGAATGAAAAAGCAAAACCGAACCTTTAGTGTTACTTTACTTCGGTTTTTCCCTTAAGCTTGGCTAGCGAGCGAGAGAGTTTGGATTATTGTATAATAGTGGTTGTTGTGTGATGGGATCTGATTTCTGGGTATTTCATTTTATTTCAATAGAATTTAGCTCACTGATTTTATGATTTAATGGTAAATTACTAACTTTTATTACTTATTAATTATGCAGATGTTGTTTAAAGTTCCCGTTAGGTTTGACATTGTCTTTTAAGCAATCGAAAAGGGGGAGGTGGATAATTTTTAGATACCAGGAGAGAACTTTTTTTTAACATTTAAATTAGTTTTCATTATAGTGTGGCAATCAGTGGATGGACTGTCATGTTATCACTTCGTTCAATCTGAGTGGATTCATTTCAAATTTTACTTTTTATTGGGTTTTATGTGTATGCATGTACAAGCCTATTTCCAAACACATGTTAATTTTTTTATACGTAACATTTATATTAGTTAAGTGGTGATTTTTTGTTTTTCTTTCTCCTTTTCAAGTAACAGAGCTCCTTTCATCATTACTCACATTTGCTGCTTATTTAATTTTGGTTTGCTTTTTAATTGGCAGATTGAAAGACTCGCCAAAATGATACAAAAGGTTTGGACTTGTGTTATAAATGCTGCCTATGATTATATTGTTATCCAATTGAATTCCCACTCAAAAAAGGAACACCCCCCCCCCCCCCAACACACACACACACACACACACACACACACACACAAAAAATACAACCAAAATTTTCATTGTTAAAATAATTTTGGCGATTTATGTTTCTTTACTTAATGATTTTTAGATATTTTTATCCAATCAACATTTTTAAGTTGTTTCTTTGCACTTGCAGAGTAAGCATCTAGTCGTGTTTACAGGTGCAGGAATATCAACATCTTGTGGCATACCTGATTTTCGAGGTCCCAAGGGAATTTGGACGTTACAGGTGAAAATTGTATATCTTAATTGGGAGAAATGGAATTAATGAATCTCCTTGTCCTCTGAGAAGAACTCTATCTAATAATGCTTCGTTCTTTACCTAAATAACTTTGTATAAACTGATAATTACATTTCATTCAAGGGAGAGGTAGTTGGTGGGGCATTCTTTACTATTAAGACCTGTGATGGAACCTAGTAATTTTTTTATGCATCTATGAATAGTCTTTTTTCTTACTTTAGATAAAAATATGAAGGTAGGTTGTTTCCTTTACTCATGGAATGTCTCACAGAAGCCATTGCGGAACACATTTTGTCACCATGCCTTGTCTGGGGGTGAGAACCAATCCATCAATGTGCTAGGAAACTATATTGACTTCTGACAACAGAGAGTATGACAGAGAGGGCAGGGCTGTGGTCTTTGTTTTAATGATCAAAGAAAGGAAAATTTTTCCCTTAAATGTTGACTAAAGGAAGTAGAAGAAAATCTAAGCTCTAACCACTTCTGTGAAGTGTCAGTACCTCCAAGACATAAAATGTAGCCAGAAGGCAATGTAGTTGCCACTTTAAGGCTCACGGTTATGCAAAGTTGCCTCAGACGAAGAAGAAAGATGCTAACTTGTGTTTGTGTGTACATGAGCGAGGACTGCCGGGCCATCCTGCGAGATTCATTGTAGTATGATCAAGTTATAGGCAAATTCGTAGCTTGTATGTTAAAATCTTATAGAACTTTCAGCAATCTTTTTCTTTTTTCTTTTTCTTTCATAAATGGCTTATTTATCTATTAAAAATCTCATGTTGCTTGAAGCTTAGCTGAGAAGAAAAAAGCTTAGTATTTGTGATTTATCTATAAGTTTTATTTGGTTGTTGCTTTGATTCTCATCAACTGAATTCAGCGCGAGGGAAAACCTTTACCTGAAGCATCACTACCATTCCATCGAGCAATGCCAAGCATGACACACATGGCTTTGGTTGAGCTGGAGAAGGCTGGCATTTTAAAGTTCATTATTAGTCAGGTAGGGCTTTAGTGACTCATTCTTCTTTAGCAATGTGCCATATACATCCTGCCTATGGGGAGTGTGTTAGCTTCCTTTTTAGTTTGTGTATGTGTCTTCAGTGTGTGTGTGTGTTTTATTTATTTATTATTATTTTTGTTTTTTGGTGTTTTTGCGTGTGTGTGTGTGGGGGGGGTTGGTTGTTGCTTTTGCTGATGTGGGTGTGAAAGAGATACAATCCTTTGATTCAAGTAATTTTTCCTTTTTCTTGGGTCAAAAGAATTAGTCTTTGGAGGTCCACAATCACCTTTCATCACTCGGTAACTAGGGACATTGGGAATTTAACTGTACATGCTGCTATCATTTATGCTTTCTAGATTTTCTCTGAACCTCAATGACACCCATGACTCCTTTTGCAATCATGCTTGCCTCAACACAATGGTGCTAAAATCCATATGCCTTTCGCATCAGTTTGCCTTTTATCTCTCAAACAGGCCTCTGGTTATTTTACTATATAAACAAATCTGCTTGCTTTCCTGGTACTGTTTTTGATCACTTATTATATTCGTAGTACAGAATGTTGATGGTCTTCATCTTCGGTCTGGAATACCAAGGGAGAAACTTGCTGAATTACATGGGAACTCTTTCATGGAAGCTTGCCCTTCATGTGGTGTAGAGTAAGATTCATCCTCACAGCAGCTCCTAATCTTGTAATATGTATTTCTTTTTTATTTCTCTCTCAATTGTTGGCATATCAAGTATGTCATTTACTTGTGTGATTTATATAACAGTTTGCACAATTATCGTTTCCTTTTGGAAATTGGTTTCCAAATCTAAATTTAGTATTGTTGTCAAACCTGTGAAGGTATTTGCGAGATTTTGAGGTTGAAACCATCGGGTTGAAGGAGACATCAAGACGCTGCTCTGATGTCAAATGTGGAGCAAAGCTAAAGGATACAGTTCTTGACTGGGAGGTAGTATTTTGTTTATTTTCTGGGTTGCTATCGGTTAAGGCTCAATAAATAGATATTCTTGATATCTAACCTTGAGGGTTGGCCGAGTTGGCAGGTGGGTTACTTCCCTCCTTGTCAACCAGTGTTCAATTCTGAGTCCAGGCCGTGAGAATATATTTTCTCATGAATCCTCTAGTCCCGGGGTAGATGTCTGCCTTTCACTGTACCTGGAAGGTGGACTTAGTTTTGGGGTGAGCAAGTTGGCCAAGGATACCAACTGACCATCAAATAAAAAAAATGATATCTTACCACACCAAACTGATCCATTTGTTTGTAATGGCATTTTAAACAAGTTGATTGGTGGATGGTCAAGTGTAATTCTAAAGGCAATGGATTAGATGCTTAAGTGAGGTGAACGATTATGTAGAAAGTTTCTGATGCAGTAGAAAGATTGTCTTGAATGGATGGCTTAAGGTTGACTCTAGATCCATTCATTTTAATGTCTGCACATTCTGAAGGTCCATATCCAGCTTTGAAATCAGAGAAGTGAAATTAGAATTATATGTTTTAATCTCCCTCACTTCATTTAGATTGTGTAATTCTGCAATCAACAAGTGAACAGATGTATAAATCTTTGATTACATCTGCAAGCAAGGATTGTACTACATTAATCATGGATTTGATAGAGCTTTTACTGTAAAGTAGGAACAGTTGAACACAATCTTCTAGCCAATTCATGTATTGGATATGTTGAGACGAGGCATGGCACACATTTGTTCTAAAGCATTCAGATAGACTGATAAGTTAATAAATAATGCTAATTCACAAAGATGATCATTGATCTTTTGATGGAATTCAGTGCATTAATTGGGCTTTAAAGAGCCCCAGGAAAAAAAGTTGGATAAATTTAATTCTGATGCCTTTTGTTTGCACATTTTTTTCTACAATTAATATTTGAACTATATCTCCAATTCAATTCAAAGCACATGCCGCTGAGAATCTGTTTGTGTGTGTATGCGCACATGGGCAGGATGCGTTGCCCACAAAGGAGATGCTTCCAGCTGAGAAACACTGCAGGATGGCTGATGTTGTGTTATGTTTGGGGACAAGGTAATGAGAGATTTGCTAGTTTACAGTACGAATGCACCTTTGTTTCTAATTTTGCGTTCTATACATTAATGGTATGTTATTCTCTAAATATAATAAACCTCTTTGGATATACTCTAGTGAAAACAGAAAGAAACTGCATTAAATTCTTTCTAAATCTAAGCTAGCATGCCCTTGGCATGCATCCTCTTCCTTTGTACCCTTTGATTAAAAAATATGTAGTTTCTTTGATGAAAAACCTTATAGATTTCTTGAATCACTAAATAATGCAAGGTTGCTTCTCAGTATCACATTGATCCTGTAGAAATGCATGATTGAATTGGCTGCTCCTAGGTTACCAACAGTATCCTTGCATTCCTGCAACCTCCTAGCAAGCTTATCTCTCTCTCTCTCCTCTTCCTATTCTCTAAGCTGCTTCAAGATTTTAATAAACCAAATAAGTTGAGCCTGCTTTACATTCGAAGCTGACAAAGCCATCTGCACAGGTAAGAAGGCATTGCCTGTTGCTTTGGACCCTATGAAATAATAATGTCCTTAATGACAGTCAATAAAGTAAAAATTGCCAATTATGACTATTTGAACAAAATAATTACAACAATTGTATTAAATGTTTAAACAAGGTCGTGCATCAGAGAAAAAGGAATGCATAGGATCCAGTTGAGATGATAGCATCTAATAACTAAGTATTAAATTTCAATGCTGGCATGCGTGATGTGAGTAATTTATGAAACTTAAACCTGCTACCAGTTCTTCTATTTGTTGCTCAGTGCCTTTTCCAATTGAATTACATATTCCTGAGTGTTTTTTTTTTTTTTCCTTTATATATCTCGTTACCAACATGATTTGCCCTGTGAAGTTTGCAAATCACTCCTGCATGCAATCTGCCCTTGAAATGTCTCCGAGGAGGGGGAAAGATTATAATTGTCAATCTTCAGGTATTTTTCACTATTTCTTTCTAAGATGTGTGTGTATTTAACTGCAAGTCAATTGAGATTACATGATAAACTGATACTGTGGTGGAATCATGTATTATATCACCCTCCTCTTATGGATGGATCTTTATTAATGGCCCTAAATTATATTCCCAAATCACTAGTTTTGCTTTGTTAACATGAGAGAGAACAAGATTTTTGTAATAAATTTGGCAAAGGATTGTTACCTCTTATCAGCAGGAAATTTTCATCTGTTTTAAGGATGACTAGTGTCATTTCATGTGAATCCTCTTTACCTCTAATTGTTTCCTTTTTCCTTTCAGTTAGAAGTCATTTGTGTTAAATACTCTTAAATGGACCAAAATTCTCATTTATAGCAAGTTATTGAAATAAGTAGAATCTTTATATCCCAAGAATTTGTGGGTGATGCTTTGAAAATTTGGCGTTCCTAAATATTGCCACAGCCGATAGCCTCTGAAGGAACGATGTGGGTAGTCGTGTACTAACAGCACATGTTTTATTGTATCTGAGATCTTGGGTTCTGGTGGCATAGGATTTGCAGTAGTTTTTTCTTTTTCATATATTTTGGATAGAAAATGAAGTCAAACCAATGTATATAGGATTAGGATGCATAAAACAGAGCTACCTTGGCGAAAATCAAACTACCAAGAAGGAAAGGAAATTATGATGCAGGAATCAGTAAATCTTATTAGTATACAGAAGTGGCAATGGAAGGATTGGAATCCTCCAGTTGAACCAAAAATGCAAATGCAGCTGATGATTATTTCTAGGTCTGCGACTAAATTCTTCACTGACAAATTTCCTATCATTCCCTTCTGTACATATCCCAGACAATAAAGACAGTGGGGCTGTTCTCTATGCCAACCTCTGTCCTTCCACAACATATGCAGTGCCAATTCAGTAAAAGAAGAAGAATCTCAGTGTTGCTTTATTATTTTTATCTTGACTTTGTAGATGAATATCATATTGCTGGGTAGATTGACATTTTCTGTTTTGCTTGTATTATTTTAGTACTGGTTTACTCTGGTATTAATTTTGCAACCATATCAAAACTAGCATATTTCTGTGTCCCTCGTGGGTATGGACATGTTTGCAGTAGATGTTGAATTCATGAGGGGATTAGCCGTACTTTGTGATTAGAAGATAATATATTTAACTTTTAATCAGAAAATAGAGACACAGTCATAAACACTCATAAAATATTTTACTATATCATAGATTTATGAAAAGCATGCATAATTCGTTGAGGGCACTATTAGTCTTGGATCCACAAAACCACAACGTCAAATGTTAACAGTAAAACAAAACTGTAATTTGTTTGGATTGGGTGCATAATTGGTTTGTTATTGTCTCTGTGATGTTGATTTATCATAGTAAGGTTTGCATGTTAGATATATGCTTTCTCATACACTTCTTTCTTACCAACTTTACAGAAAACTCCAAAGGACAAGAAGGCAAGTATGGTGATCCATGGATTTGTAGATAAGGTACTAATATTTCCACTTGCAAGTCCGAAAAGATCCTTCCTGTTTTGATCTGTAATGCTGCCCCACAACCCCCCTCCCCAACTCCCCGCTACATTTTCTTTTATTATTGAGATTAACCTTATATTGTACCAGTTGTTGGACAAACCTGAATTTCTTATATTGCACATAGAGGGTAATGCGTATCTACTTTTTCTTTTCTTTTTTCTTTTATATAATTTTAAAAATTTATTAGCTTATGTCATGTGTGCATATAGTATGTAGATTGTAGATAAGAATCTCATTGTTGTACGGATCAGGAATAAATGTGTTATTTGCTATTGCTATTTAATGATTTGAACCAGAACAGGTTATTGCAGGAGTCGTGAACTTGCTTAATTTGAGAATTGCTCCATATGTCAGGATTGATTTCCTTCAAGTCATCATAACTCAATCATTGAGTTTAGGTAATCTTCTGTGGATGCATAGAGAACTACAGCACATGTACATCTCATGCCTTTGAAACATGCATTTAATGTAATGTTATCATCCTTCCATTGGGCCATCCTAAATGTTAGCAATCCTCCAGACAGCAAACATTGCCTGACATTTTAGGCCTAGTAATCTTATCTTTCCATAGGTTGTAGAAGAAATTTTTGGTTCCATTTAGTCTGGGCTTGATATCTTTTCTAAAAGATGTAAACTGAGGTTTTCTATTTTCATTTTGATTTCTGTTGAATGTGTTTAGTGCATGAGATTGAAGATTGCCTTGTTATTGTTTTGAAAGACATAATAACATGCCAAGATCCTGATTGTGAACCTTGCATGCTTATTGCTAGAGGTCTCATATGAGGAATCTACTGGAAATTCAGCTGTAGCATTTAGTAACTATTTGATGTATGGTTTATAGCTTTCTTATGTAGCGTGCCATTTGATAGATGAAAGATATGTGAATTGGAACCTCCGGGTAGCAAGTGTACATGCACTGAAAGCACGGTTGCCATTCATCAAATCCATTGAGGTGAGTTTTTTCAGAGAGCCGTTCTGGTTAATGCCTTTAATCATGCTTTGCTTTTGTATCTGGCAGTGTACTTTTTCTAAAAGTTGGGCTACTATGTCCCTGGGTAACTGATTGTTTAAGGTTACTTTGTTAAAGTGGCAGATGTTGTAGAAACTTTTACTAACAAATAAATAAATAAATAAAATAAACTTTAGCACTTTTCATTCAAAATTATAAAATTAATGTAATGCAACGATCAGGATTTGATTTTCATTTTAGTTGTTCCTGTTTTTATTAGAAATTAATAGGTGCATTTTGCTTTCAAGAAGTTTCACCATTTTATTTATAGATTTTATAGATTGCTAGCAAACTGACTTGGTGACCATTCCATGACTAGGGTTTGCTTGCTAATTGCTAGCAAACTGACTAACTTTGATTTACATTACATTATCACATAGTTGCTGCTTGTGCCAAGTTACACTTATATGCTCTGTTATGTCTTTGGATGAAGCAGTTTCTTATTTTGTTACCAAATTATTATGCTGTCACTTGCTGCTTCTAATCCTTCTGTTTTATATGCATTTTAGGTGTCCTTCGCAGATGCTCAAAAATACAAAGCAGCTGTGCTGCATGACCAGCCATTTAACCTAAAAAGGTAGGTTTAATCCCACCCTAAATGTAAAATTTGCTGCTCAGGGTATTGAGAACTTATTCATGAGAACATTTTGTTGAGCATTATTACTTTATTTTCAGCAAAGATGCCATTTTGTTGGCCATATTGTTACTCAGCCTTCTTGTCCTCACAATTCTTGTGGTTTATGTACATCAGGAGAACCACACCAACAGAAGCATTTGAAATCATGTTGAAACTCAACTTCATTGATGGATGTGGCTGTCCCTCCATCCAAATCAATGTCCCTTTCAACTTGAAGGTAAGAAGCTTAATGAAGTATATGAGAGCAGTTTATTGAAAGTTTATACCACCCTTTGCTTTGCAAATGATCAGGAGTTTAAGGAAGTTCTTTCTCATCACGGTACAGGTTTCAACTGACTGTTTTAACCTTGAAAAGGATTCTACCATACAAAATCTGAAACAGAAGGCAATTCAGGATTTATGCTGTGGTCAGAATGCACAGATTGAAAGAAAGGTCATTTTAGAGCCAAAAACTGAGGTTGCAATCCATGCCATTGTAACCAACATTAAAGCTTTCGATTTTGATTCTTGGAGAAATGGTGATGTGAAACATCCAAGAGGGGTTAATGGTATTGAGACATCTCGGAAGCGATCAAATGGTCGTAAGCGTAAATCAAGATTTTAGAGAGCAAGGCTTGTGGTTTGTATGTATATATATCCTGGATTACTTGTAGAAATTATAATATGTAGGGGCTGGGTGAATTTTGTTAGACGCAACGCTCAGTCTTCCCAGCTACGAATAGGTAAGTGGCGAAATCGGTTAGATTTGACCCAGTCATGTAACAAATTTTGAGATCCTATACTGTTCCATAGTAGGTTTCTCAATGGCAAGTAAATGTTGTCTTGCAATGTTCGTGTTAGCTGGGGAATTAGTTCATCATCCGATCATTAATGTTGTTGATGTATTGTTTTAGAATGTAGATTAGGTTGCAGTAGGTAGACATGGTAACGGTTCGGTTCGAACCGTAAATCGAATTGAAACCAAACTGTTAAAAAATCAAAACGGAACTGTTAAAACCATAACCTTGATCAAACCGAATCGTAACCGGTTATCTACGGGTTGGTTATGATTTAAGGTATCATGGAATCAGAATCGGCGGTTTTAAATCGATGGTTAACGGTAGAACCGGCAGTTTCATATCTTTCGTAATAAATTTGGGTTGGGTGTGTGTGTGTGTGTGTGTGTGTGTGTGTGTGTGTGTGTGAGACAAACGGTCACAAATGTGATCGTTTTATTTTTTCCTTCTATAAATACACTTACAATTTTTTCATTCTCCTCACAACTCAATTTATCATTCTCTCTTAATCCCTTAAACTCTTAAGTGTAGAATTTTCAATACTCGTTCTATAATATTTTTTATACTCCAAATACTTTTTAAATTTTTTACATTTCTATTGTTTTATACTACAAAAAATGACAAGTTCAAGTTCACATATGCCGGCACAACAAAATAATACCGCCAACAAAATCGAGCAGGGGAGCAACAACAATCAAATTTTACACCTAGATCATCCGACATAGAAGGTTTATTTCTTTATTTATTTCTTTTTTCCCTTTGATTTATTATGCGAAATATATTACAATGTAAAAAATATTATAATATTTATACATTATGCAAAAAAGAAGTTTTTCGTTTCAATGTTAATGTTTGATTTATACTTGAAAAAAAATGTTCGATTTTTTTTTCATTTAATAAAAAAAATTGTTGAACCGTCGATTCCAAACGGTTTGGAACCGTCGGTTTGACGATTCCAAACCGAAACCATAACCATCCATAGAAGGTTTGGTTCGAGTTCCACCTTTTGGTGGAACTCGAACCGTGGTTCCTAAACCGAAACCGACGGTTCGGGAATCGTTATCATGTCTAGTGGTAGGTATAATAGGTCGACATGGGAGCATATTTAAAACTAACTTATATGTTGTATTATTAATATAATTAATATGCAGCTTTTGCATATATCGATATTTTGTATAATTTAGATTTTTTTAATTGAAACTCTAAATTTTTTTATTTAATTTAAGAGTCTTATTTTTATATTATTGTTTCGGATCCTAATGTATCGGATAAGTATACGCGATAAGTTTTAACCAATGACGACTTGTCATGTGTCATAATGGGCTTAAATTGAGTTTTAATTTATTTTCCGATGAATTTTAAATAATTAAAAAATAATAAACTTAAAAATAAGTTAGAGAAATAGTACTTTACCTTTACTAAAACTAAAACTTGTCCTCTCTCATTCATTCAAGTTTTTTCTTTTTTCTTTCCTTTTGATTTGATTGCAATCAACTTACAATCCTTATTTTCGCAAGTTTTCAATTATAACCATAATTCTCATTCCTTGTTAACCTTTCCGCTCTATCTCCTTTTATTGCGTTTTATTTCACGATTCTAGAAATAGAGAAAACAACATGTTTTCTTTTCGTTTTTTTATACTTCTTTATGTTGGGAGGAATTTTGTTATGGCTTTTGTCAAAATAGGTTTTTATTATATGGGTTTTATATTTTGTTGTGTTTAATTGTTATTTAAATATGAATTTGTGATCTCTCGGAGTTTTTATCTACAATTTAAGAAACAATTTTAATTTTTGAATAAATTATATGAATTTGTTTGGTAGTTATTGTTTGGGTTTGTATGAGTTTCGTTTTGTGTTGTTTATTGTTTGAAATTTTGTATTTGTATTTTTCTTTGTTTTTGATATTATGTTGATTGTGATGTGGTCCTCCTAAACCGCAAGATTTTCTAAGCTTTTTCCTTTCATTTTATTTATTTATTTTTGCCTTTATGTCTCCTCAAAGATTGCATGACTTTTAATGTCAACATTAGGAAGGAGGGAAAGTTTGTCTTTTACTAAAGTTGAGGTTATTGAGAAAAATAATATAGATTTTGATTTAATGCAATTTAGAGAGCTTTTAGAATATGCTCGAAGATTATGGATATGAAAAATGCAAGGATGTTTATCATAGGATGTTAAACTATCAATTGAATTTTGAACAAAGTCTTGTAGAAGTTATGGATGATAAAAATTGTTTATGTATATGTAATATGTTGTGTAAAAGGTTGGTGGTTGATATATATTATGAGAGAAGTGATTCAATCCACCCATTCGTTCGCTATTATAATCCAAAAGTGGGATGTAAAAGGTTGTTTTTTTTGTTCACATTTGTCAATCTCAAGTGAAGGATGGTGATGGTGGTACTGGACCTACTTGGATCAATTAATATTGAGGTTGAATAACATCCAATTCAACCTATTTTAGACTTTGGTTCGTTATGGTAGAATCGTCACGAGTGGTTAGGTAAAAATGATTATTTTTACTTATTTTAAACTCTTTTGCTTCAATTTAATTATGGTGCATTATTTATATTTGTTTGTGTATCTAGTATTAGAGTAAAGGAAAGCGAGAAAGTTGGAGTTGCTTCATCTCACAAGGGGAAAAGGAATGAGGATATATTTGTGAGTAACAAAGGCAAAGAGAAAGACAATGAGAAGGTTGGTGGACTTGTTTCGAAATTACTTATGTTATGGTGAAACTTGTCACCATTAGTTAAGTATAAATAATTGTTTTTTTTTTTTTTAGTTTTTACGGTCTTTTTGTTTCAATTTAATTCTAAGCATTGTTTATATTTATTTGTTTATTTGGTATTAGAGAAAGGGAAAGCAAACGGTTAGAGCTACTTCCTCTAATAAGAGAAAAAGAAAGGATGATATGTTTGTGAGTAACAAGGGCAAGGAGAAGGAGAACATTGGTAGACTTGTTTTTAAAATTGGTTCGTTATGGTGGAACTTATTACCATTGGGCAAGTAAAAATGATAATTTTTTTTAATTGGAAATCGAATTGGTTGTGAAATTGATTCTATTATTGTGAAACCAACTTGTTTGTTTATTTGAAATTGTTTGTTTGATTTTAAAGGAGTAGAAGATTGGAGCTACATCTATGAAAAGAAAAAAAAATGATGATGAACCTATCAATAACAAAGCAAAAGGAGGAGGATGGATAAAGTCAAAAAATGGAAAAGAATGATGGAGATGGACCATGACGGAATAGCAAGGAGAAGGTTGCTTGGAAGTTTTGAAAAAAGAGGATGGTGACTAAATCAAACTCACAATACGGGAGGGTGATCACAAGATCAAATATTGAAAAAAAAACACGTAATATTAGTTTGGTGTTATTAATTTTTTGGATGTTGCTAAAGAATATGTAATATGTCATGAGTTGATAAAGAATATTTGACATTTAAGAACATATAATTTTTCAGTTTATAATCTAGAATGCAATCGATAATTTTTTTTATAGTAATTTCTTATAATAGCTCAAAAAGAATGATCTTATTAACTTTTTTTTATTCCATGATATGTGGCTAATACCTGCTAAAACTACCCATGATCCTTGCATGTGATTAGGAATTTGATATAGCTCCGATTAATGTTGGAGTTTTTAAAAAATATAAAATATATTAATTAATAAGTAATGTTTTAAAAGAAAAACGAGAGTTTTGTTGATTTCCATGCATGATCTTGTTAACTATATGCATCCGCAAATTATAGTTTCGGAATACAATCACAAGATAAGGAATTGTTGGTCATTTTATATAATCAAATCCCAATCACAACGACAATTATTTTACATAATATCTTGAGAACACTATTAATTCTAGATTTAAATAACATTAAATCAGCACAACTCAAGTTCGGATCTTCAATCTCCAGTAGCAGAACCTCTTTCCCTTTTTGTTTTTGCTCATTGTAAGCATTGTTTTCCATTTTCACCGTCTCCAATTCAATCAACAATTCTTCATTCTCATTGCTTTACATAGTAATTTCTTTATTCAATCTAACATTCTTCAAAATGAATCTTGAGTTTTGAGCATGTATTTCTTGTTGGCAATTTTGCAAACTCAAAACAATATCTTTAGCTTTACCATCTAACTTATTATGGAACCACACTTTAAAATCACATCCAACATCTTTTTTGCCTTTAGCTTTAAATCAAAGTGTATAAACATAGAATTTACACCTAGGTGGTCATCACTCCAAGACACTACCTTACTTGTTTTCATGCCACGAGTAACATGAAATTGCAAGCTCTTTCTCATCCCATTATAATTCTTCATCACCGAGAGCACAAGTTGACGAACGTTTGGAAGAGGAAGAGGATGTTGATAACAAAGTCATTCTTTTCTAGAATCACGATTTGGGAATTAGGGATTAGAAAAATGCAATCAAAGAAGAAAGAGAGAGGAAAGGTTAAGAGGGAATGAGGATTAGGGTTTATAATTGGAAAATTGTGAATTGGGTATGAGGTTTTGAAATTTGAGAATTGGAAATTGTAAGTCGATTACAATCGAAGGAGGAAAGAGAAAAGAAAAATCAATGAACGCTTGGAAGATAAAGAGGATGTCAATGACATGAAGTCATTCTTTTCTAGAATCGCGATTTAGGAATTAGGGATTAGAAAACGCAACGGAAGGACAAAGAAAGAGGAAAGGTTAAGGGAGAATGACGATTATCAATGAGCTTATAACCCGAGTGGTAGTGGTCTTTTGCAAGAGGTCACGAATTCAAATTCTAACAAACTAGTTCCGTTAAGAGCCTTGGGTGTGTGTGTAAAAAAAATAGAG